CATCCATGGGTAGTACTAAAATAACACAATTCCCCTTCTCCTTTATACTAATCACAGTTAATTATATTAAGCTCTTCTTCTCCACTATATACTACTGACTGCTAATCATATAAAGCCTAGTTGTTGTTTAATACCTGAAGAATTTGCAACAGGAACCAGCAAGATACACTTTTTCCAGTACTTCTCCACTATCAGCAGAGAGACGCAGAAGCCAGTTCTGCACTGTCAAGACTATCAGGGAAGCTTTATAATCTGATGGACTCGGTAGCATTTCCCCCTACATAAAAAAAAGGCTATTAGAAAAACATTTGTATCAGGAGGCTACAAAACATTTTGACAAAGTCAGAAGAACCTGAAAGTAAATACACATTTCCTCAAAAACTGAAGGAGGAAAGCTGCCTGCTAATCAGATCAGTATCTCTAAGCTCATGTCTATAACAAATAATTACCTATGACATAAATAATCTGCTGTCACACTTTTTGCAAGACAGTTACATTTTCTAGAAAAGGAACCCTTTAAAAAAATCTTTGCCTTGCAAAAATTAACTGTTTATTGATCTGATACCAATCTTGAAGAGAAAATTATTTAAGTATTTCAAAGGAAGATATTCAGTAGTAACTCAACAGTAACTGCTACAAATGGTATTTACACTGCTTTAGTTTTAGGCACCTCAAGGATATGGCTAATATTTCTAAGCTCTGTTGACATCGGTGAAGGAGAGAATTATATAATTATCAAGTAGAAACAGTAGAGGAGTTTTTAGGCAGGGTTGCATCAATGGGCCTCCAGTGTATCTGGTTTTGTTGTTTTTTTTTAACGTCAACAGATCTGAAGAAAACTAAAACTCCTAGCTACTGTCCTTGCTGTTTAAAAAATAAAGTATAAGTAGAATTTATTTTAAGGAATTAAGAATTAATTGCATAAGAATAAAAGCATTGGTTTTAAAATCTTCCATGAAAGCTTATGAAAGAAACATTTAATGCACTATTGAGAAATTCAGAGAAGTATACCTCTAAATGTTCAGTTAATAGAAATAGGGCACATGTTGCAAACCCTTAATGACCTAACTCCATAAAAACATTGAGAAAATAGTGTGGAAAGAAAAAGCACTCCATTCTAAATGTTTCATCAAAATATATTAATTTAGTATTTTGCACAAAAATGTTCTAGTAAAAAGTAATCTTACCAGTGGGCATTCCAATAATAAAGCATCTTCTATTTTTTCAGACTTGGCACACTTTGACTTTTGATAAATTAGTCTTGGCTGTTGTGCAATGCTAAAGGAAAATGATTGCTAATCATTAGTCTGTTTTATAGACCACTTTCTATCAACAAGTCATTTCATACAGTTTTATACCTTAGGCAGGTCAGAAATATAAACATTTTTACTTTGTAAACATTATTGAAATTGCTCTCAAAATAAGACCTAATAAACAAGTTAATATAATGTAATATTTAAAAGCTAATCTTCTCTAAATCTTTTGGTCTGGTTGCTTTTCTTTTTTTAGTTTCAGGTTTACTTTTAGTTTTGAGTTGGGTTTTTTTAAAGTAACAAACTTAATAGTTACTTTTAAAATAACAAACTTAGTAACATTCTTGCTCTAGTGATATACATTAAGAAGAAAACAAAATAATTCAAAAACATGGATCATCCTGGAACCTTCCCCTCAAGTTCTTCCAATGCTGCCTTTTATAACAAAGGTGTGGCATCATGTTCAGATAAACTCTCTCATGTTCAGAAAAACTCTCTGCTAATTAAAATTGATGCCATTTGGGTTTTGCCTTTTTTCCTTTTATATATTCTCTGTATTCTTCATACACATATTTGTAACTCTGTCACCTATTGTATTAGTAGCTAGCTTTACCAGTACTTTTCCATGGCCTTTCCCTAGGCAGAAAGACAAAACAAATTCCAGAGCTCCAAGCCCGAGGAGGTACGAGGCCGCAGTGCTATCTTGGTTCTACCTGGGAACCAAGGCTGAGAACAACTCTTGGAGATACATTTTCATGGATAAAGTACAACTTGTACTGAGGGGGCTCCAGAGGAGGGGCTTGGCCTGAGGGGTGAAATTACATCACCACTTGTCCTCCTAACTGGGGCTTTTTATCAATTATGCTAATATCCTAAAACCTATAAATGTGTACTCATCCCTGTAAGGGTGGGCTTTTGTGGACATCTTTCCATAACTGCCTCTGAAGACCTTCATTGACGATCCCCTTTTATACTACCTCCTTACTAAAATTGAGTTTTATTTCCATGTTGGGAACAAGGCAATAAAATAAAAGCTTTGTACTGTGCACAGTTTTGCCCTCTGGGAGAGGATGACACAAAGAAAAACCTGAAAGATGTTAGACAGGTTAACCCAGTACTGAAAACATTCAGGCAATGTAGGAATAAAAGCAGATTTAGATCTCAGCTGTGGGTGATAGATTAACTTAATTCACTCTTAGTGTCATATGATACATAAAATATAACTAGTCTGTCAGGATAAACCACTATCTCAAAACTGCTCTGTCCCCAGCTTCCTCAGCAATGCAGTTCTCCAAGTCCATGCTACTTCCCTCATAGTATGGACAGGCAAGGACAAGGGCTGGTGCACACAGATTTCCTGTCCTCTACCCCTCCATGTGCTGCCTCCTAGCCTGTCTCTCTGCAACTATCATGGAACAGAACATATTAGATCAGAGAATTGATCTACAAAATACATTTGCAAAAATTAGCACATACTGCAAGCTGTATTTTTACATGCAAAATAATTTACTTATTTTATACAGAATTCACATAGTATCAAGCTTGTTACATAGGCTGATTCTGTAACACACTCTTTAGCACAGTGGTAGTTGCCAGATTAAAAAGAACTACTGTTCATTTGGCTTTTTAGTACAAGACTAGAAAATTGTGTTAATCTTCCATTCCTGCTCTGGAAGATGAGGTTATACTGCACCAGAAAGGTCAGGCTTTTTTTTACCAAAGTAGGTGTCACATTAAGATACAACAGCATCTAAATGTAATTCAAAGATTGTAAACCAAAGATTTATCACCTGCTTATTTTTTGTTCCCAGGTAAACTCCATTTAATTCACAGCAGCTATGAGTAAAGTTAGCAATATAACACAGAATCAGTCTCAAATCTGTAAGTCAGTACCTCATAATTGCAAATTTATTACCTGGTAATACAGCATTGGTAATTGTCCATGTAAATTCTTCCTCTTTCATATGCAATAGGAGATGCAGAATGAGTTGTCCAAACATTCTTGAATTTAGTACTTTCCTGAAACACAATAGTTTTAACAGTGATGGCTGTTTGCAACAAACTTTGTTTCTGAAAATATTTTATTTGGCTCCTGCAACTTAATACCTTACTTTAATTAAAATTTTACTGCTGAATACATGAGAAAGAATCTTACTTGGTTTTTATAAATAAAATTAACAGACCTTTCATAAGAAAATGTTGTCTTTTTTAAAGACCAAATTAAAATATTTTTAATTAGCTATTATGGACAGCTATTCTTTACAGCGGGGGTAAGGAATATTTTGTCATTAACTTGCCTATATTAAAACTGGCAACTAAACTTCCATAGTGACTTTTGAAATCAAGGACTAAAGTCCCCAGATTAATTATGCAAAGATTCTTTTATATGTAATTAGTTTGATTTATGGAACACTTAATTCCATTCTGCTGGTGGAGTTTGGTGTGAAAGGCAGAGAAATGTATTTACCGTTATTTGCAATAAGTGTCCAAAATGTTAATGAAATAAACTGCTCACATTAAAGCTTCTTGCATGCATTTGAGATACCAGGAGCTCTATGCCATTAACAAAGGTTCCAGCCTTAGAAAACAGAAGTGTATGTCAGACGTACCTATGTTTATTTCAGTAAACACTGCATGCCTATTGATCTAGTTACATAAGCAGACACTTCAGCTGACTTCCAATAAATATATTTTCAATATAACTGCTAATTCACTTCCACATTATTTTCTAATGTATTTCTATCAACTACTATATGGAAGCAGTAATTGTTTTGACTAAAAAAAGAAAAAAAGAGTTCAGTTTGTAATTGATTTAATTCCTATTTTTTCTGTAACATCAGTTTCACTGAGAACTGGGGTTATGTTTACCTGCAAATCTCTGCCAATTATCTTATTATGCGAACTCCTTTCAAATTCAACATGAAGCACGAAGAATTTAAGATCAGTATTAAATATGAAGCCATCTTAGGGAAATAGGTGATATAAAATCTCATAAAAGCTTAATTCTAACACAATCATTAGATACACGAGTGCCTTTTCAGTTTTTGCACAATCCTCTCTACATTTCTAGGCCTGAGCCTTGTGAAATAATTCGGCACCTTTTTTCTCCCCAGTGACCGGGACCTCTCGAAGACCCGTGCCGAGGACTGGCACGCAGCCCCCTCGGCTGAAAGGCCGAAGGCGCGGGGCTGCAGCCAGCGCCGGAAGGCGGCCGATTACCTGACACATGATCCTCCTGAGGAGTCCCAGGTTCTTCCTGTGGGCGACACCGGCATCTCTGGCGTAGAAGCCGTGGGCCCTGCGGGTGAGGAGGCGGCACACGTTGTGCACGCCGCACGCCCGGAGGGCGGCCCTGCTCCCGCCGGCGGCCGCCTGCGGGCATGTTCTGGGCCCGCGGGGCGGGATCGCCTTCCTCCCCCGCTCCAGGCTCGCTCTCGGCAGGGCGTGCAGCCCCGCAGGCCCAGGCCCGCGCCGGGTTTATCTCAAACCCCCCGCCCTTGCCCGGCGAGAGGTGAAGCGAAGCGGGAAAAGGCCCGAACGGCGCCTGGCTCCTTGACTCCCGAGCGAGGCAAGCCGCGGCCTTCCGACGGCGCCGTGCGGTTCCCGGCCGCCGCAGCTCCGGTTTCCGCAGACGCCGGGCGGGGACGGCCTCGCGCCGCCTCCCGCGCGGCCCGCCGGGTACTGTAGTTTTTCCGAGGGCGGATCGCGCGGCGCGCCCGGACTTCACTTCCCGCCGCGCCCCGCGGAGGAGCGGGGCCGCCCTCCCGTACGGCGGCGCTGCGGCGTGGGCGCTGGTAAGGCGCCGCTCCGAGCACCGGGCCGGAGCGGGCGCTGCGCAGGGCTCGGTGAGCGTCGCCGGCAGCGGCCGCCGGCCGGTACCACGCAGCCGCCCGCGCACCGGGAGCTCTGCCCCGGCTGGGCTCCCACCCCGTCCTGTGCTGAAGGATGCGGGCGCTCGGCATGCGGAGCGTGCAAGTGGAAACGCTCTACCCGCTGTTTTCTCAATTAAATCAGAAAAGTTTTGTTCGTGGTAGCTGGTTTAGGAGAAGTGGGAACTGGTATCTTCTTTCTTTTGAAATGTTCCTGCTGTATACCTCAGCCTTCGGGGTTGGGCGCGGGGCATTCCCGGGGATGAGCGTCCGGCCTGGCGCCTGCGAGCCTTCGGGCACCGGCCACGAGCCTTTTTGGGTACGGCAGTGTGGGATTGAGTGCACTCGGACTTGGGGCGAAGGTTAAGGGATTGGTTGAAACCCGTTTAAAACTCCAAAGTCAACAGAAACTTCTTAAGATGTATGACACTTCCTTTTTGTATTTTAGAGCTACATCCAAATGCTATCACGGTCATCAATCGCTACTTGCCAGCAGAGCAACTGAAGTCTGTGGACAGACTCGTTTCTCTTCTTGCCTGAGGCCAAGCGCCCAAATGTGGTAATCAAAAATTGCTGATCTTTTTGTGTGCCCATATCTGTCTTTCGGGATCTGAGTGGAACCTTGAATCTTCACTGATCTGAAGGAGCGTCCTTTAAATTTCTGTTGCTTTGCAATTATTGCTTGAAGGGAGTTAAACACAAACACAGTGGTCGCAGTTGCTCCTACAAAGAGCTGATTAGGGCAGTAAATGGAGCATATTCTCCGGTGGATTTGCAGCATCGCCATTGACTTCAGAGCTGGCAAGGCAGGTTGTAGCTCATCAAAGTACACATGGACATCCAGAATCCTGCAAGAATGTAAAATGGATGGAGTTCTTGAATATGCACTGTAGACAGTAGTAAAATTCATGGTGCTCTATCCCAATTCTCATCACCTGTATTAAAAAAACCCCGCAGTTTGTGTTGAGACAAATTATCTTTTATTAGGCAATACATTTAAATAATCTGTATTTTGTAGATAATATGTTTAAAATAGTTTAAGTGATTGCATTTGGAGGTTTAGATGTATCTTCACTGCAAGTATGTGTATACATACATAATGTGTGAAGTCTCAAGAGCTCTTTTCCCTTTTTTCTCCTTCCTGTGTAAGCAGCATCCAGCAGAGGGTGTGCAGGGTAATGAGGCGCCCTTCTTTGATTATTCAAGTAAATGTTACCAGTAAATCAGCAGGATTTATCTCCCCTTCTCTCTCATTGCATAAACTGTTTCCTCTTTGCTCAAATATTTTTAACAGTCTGCCTCACTTGTAGAAGCTTGTGGAAGAGCAGGCACTTCTCAACACATGTATATGTGATTAAAATAATATCTGGTGGGGCAGGTTTGTTTGTTTTTATCTGCTTTGTTTTTAAACTAATTTTAACTTTGTTGTCTCTATAGGAATCAAAATCATTTTTCTTTTTCTTTTCCCCTGGGAGGCACTGCTCTGTAGCAGTTTCACTGAAGTTGCTGTATGCTCACAAGGAGGTCTGCATCATTCCTGGTGCATGAGAAAGAAAAACAGTTGAAATTTTTAGATCTGCTGAGTTTGAGAAGTTGTGAAATACCCTGTTGTTTCAAATGTGCATAATTTTTTGGAAGTATATGATTGAAAAACTAATTATTAATCCCCAAGAGGCATGATTAGTCACTTGGTCAAATAGGACTAAGCACTCAGTTAAGGAGTGAGTCTGGTTGATAATAAAGTCACCCCCAACTCCACCCAGACTGGAAATATTAAGAAATATTAATAAGTATTTATTTTTAAAATAACCACTGGTAATTCATAGTTATACCTTTGTGTTACCATTATCTTGATTTTTTTTTTCCTTTCTGTCCTCAGTTGCCACTTGCATCTCTTTTGTGTAAAGTGTTTTGAGTTTTGGTAGTGTTTGGTGGTGATAATATAGATTAGTAAGGCTTTACAGAAGAGCATTTGGAATTAATGGTCAGATGTTGTTTAGATAAGCTTCTAGGTACCAAGCAGAAGTAATTGTATGAAGTTAATTGTTTCCAGAATACTTTTCTGCCTAGTAATGTAACAAAAGTTGCACATACTGTTCCTAATATAGGCTATTTTTGTCTTTATAGCAGAGACTTTACAAGTAGGCTTAGTGATTGGAGATGGAAGAAGTTAGATTTGTAGCTGGAGATCAGCCAAATATCAAAATATTTTTTTCCAACGTGTTCATTAAATTAGGTTCTTGGACAAAAGTAACTGGTTATTTCTGTTCTTTTTGTTGTTTTTCTTCATCTGACATCTCACTCAGAATTGATACTTTAAAAGAATTTTACTCATCAGTTAAGTGGTTTAAAAATTTTTTGGGGTGTAATTCACTGTTAAAAAATCTTAGAACAGTTATTTTCTCCTATATCTAATTTTTCTTCTATGGCTGTGACTGCTTAGGGTTTTAATGACAACATCAATTAATTTAATTAGCCGATTTTAGGTCTGGCTAGGAGTTGATGTGTGTACATTCTTCTGCATGTTCACCTGCAAAAAGCTGTACTAAAGATGCTGTATTTGCTTATTTCTTAAAATTTCTCAATTAAACTGAGGATCTCATCTGTACTTGTACCAATGACAAAGCTGTAAAGTCTAAAAGGCAGTGCTCCACAGGGAAACGAAGACTTCCATGTTGCTGTTCAGCATGGTTATTGAATGCATTGTTTCTTTAAGATTTTTTTTTCTGAAAAACAGTTATGCTGCTACAAAAATTAGTAATTTTTATTGTAATTCACTTTTATGTTAATTTCCTTAAAGATGAAAGTTGAGTTGTTTTGATTAATAATCAAATTTAAAGTATTCCTGATTGTGACTGAACAGGGAGAAACTCCTAATTCTTTCAGGCAACATTTCTTGCTGTCATAACTTCAGGATATGATCATCTTACCTGATAACAAGAAAGGGTGTTTGCCTGTTTCATTAACAAACTTCAGTTAAACAATCGAGCAATGACTCCCTTCAGAAAATGTGATTTAGGCTTACAAGTGATTTAATGCATTTTGAGCTTTAAGTAGCCATGTTGCCAAATAATCTTGTGATCTGTGCATGACATAACTCTCAGGGATGTACCTGCATGTCTCAAGGGAGTTCATTCACATTTAACATAGATTGCAACAGGAAACTTCCTCACCTACCCCACTTGCCTTACATTTTTGGAATTTATCTGCTAAAATCGTTCAACTACCACTCAAAGGCTCACTTTTTCATAGAAAGGCTTGCATATCTGGATTTTACTGATGTAAGATCATCTTAGTCATCTGACTATAGTTCCCATCTGTGCATCTTTTCATGTTTTTATTGAGATATTTAGAAAGCCAAGAAAAATTATGTGACGAGCCTAGCAGCTGAATCATTGTTTTTTATGGTGAATATCAATGCTGGCATAGGAAATGCAAGATACTAACTCAGGTTTTTTCAAGTAATTGAGGGAGGAAGGGGATTTGTAAACAGCTTGCAATGTAATAATGGAATCTTTATCCAAGCTTTTCTGTAATTTAATAATAATAATTCTGAATTGTGGTTTGGGGTTTTGGAGGACTTTCTATTTGTTTTTATTTACAATAATGCCTTTATGTAAATTACACATTTTGCAGAAATTGTCATGATGTCTTAATTTTCATGTATCATAATTATTATCTTATTATATCCTATATATGTTAATAATTATGGATTATGTTCTAAAAAATGCATACATATTTTCAAATAAAAACCAGTAAAAACTTGTAGTAATTGAAGTATAACTTGGAATAGTTTTACTTGCTGAGCCACATTAAAAAAAACCCCACAATAGACTCATTAGCATTAGAAGAAGTTTTGATTCTTTTAATAGGCCTAAATGTTAGATTTTCACTGTATGGCAACACTTCCATGTCTTCGTAACATTACAGTTTCAGCAGCCAAAATCAACAGTGATTTTATGAGGCATCATCAACAATAAGGCAAACTCGATTTTATTTAAACTTTGACAAATAAGAAATTTTAATCTTTTTACCTTTTTTTTCTGTAGGCTTAAAATGAATAAACAATGCCCTTTTTAAAGCATGACTCATTCAAAAGTACATGTTAAATGAGGAATTGTTCATTTAATTGAAGTGATTCCTTTGCCAGTCTTTGTATTGATGTGGACAGATTAATAATTTTCAATTCACAGTACAAGACTTGTGATCAAATACTACCATTTTCCTTAAGATAGAAATCTTTGGTTTGCAACCTGTTTGCACAGAATGTTTTCTAGTAGTGTCTTATGCCTGTTCTTTTGTAACTATGTTTTGGATTTCCAGTGCATTAAATGTGTGGTTTTTATGGAAGCAGTATTGCAAAAAAAGAAGAGAAAAAAGGCAGGAAAAAATAGGACTTAGAATAATTTTAAGGAAAAAAGAACAAAAGCCCATCAGGGTAAAAGTAGTAGGGGGAGTGTTTCATTTTACTTTTCTCAAAGAAAGCTTACATTAACAAGAATATGCAAAAATCCCCACCAAAAATACTAATACTAGCTACACACATTTGTTTTCTTTCTTTATTGATCCTTTGTGAAGATATTCTAAGTAAAGTAAAATATAGCAATATAAAATAGAATTATACATGTAATAGAAAAATCTGAATCACTTTATAATTTCCATTGATAGCAATTAAACATATATAACAATTACATTTCAAAGACAGCAGTGAACAGGGATCAGGAGAATAAATGGCAGAAATGTTGGAAAGTTTTATGTGAACTATGTTTACACTTAAGAAAAGATATTTAATTTCCTATTTAAAAGCATAACACCATAGTCATAGTTCCAGAGTGAAATCTTTTGAAGAAACTGAGTAGGGTGAAAAATGTCAATTTTACTGAGAGTATATACCCACTGGAAGAAGTGGTTTCATTACTGATCATTTCTTGCTTGCATTTGTAAAGGTACAGTATCAGTCTTAGGTTATTGTTTTACTGTGTATTTGTTTTCTTTCCCCTCCCTGATAGGACTTTGAAATGATACTATGTAATTTATTTTTTGACTGATTTTATTCCGGTAGCCTACTTCGGAATTATTTGGGCTTTCAGCACACTGAAGGGATGTTGCCATTTTCTAAGAAGCATTTGAATTGATATTTTAGTGAATGATTTTTAGTAAACCTGTTCTTGGTTATTTGACCAGTCTGTCATGTAAGTGACATAAACAGTTGCATTACTGCAAAACTGTAATTTGGGTTAAATGTGTTTTCAGGTCTCTCAACACAACAAACTTCATTACAAGGCTTTCTGCTTTATGTCTGAGGAAAAACAAGATGCAACGCAGGCACCAAAGTAATAGACGACCAACGGTTCCACTTGGATCACGGATTTTAACTGATCCTTCTAAGGTCTTTGAGCATAACATGTGGTGAGATGTTTCTTCAAGGATGATTTTTGTATCATTTTGTACACTGTTTGCTCTAATGAATAATGGTGCGAGTGTCTAAAACAAGGTGCTGTCAGAATAGGCCTATGAAGGTAGCACTAGAGGAAACCTGAGACTGTCACAAGTAGTCTGACAGTTACAACCTCTCAGTCACTTGTGTTAAAAGCTGCCAAGCAAATAGTTAGTCAAGGAGTGAAAGGCAAAATATTATTATGGATCAGTAATCAATTAGGAGACAGAGGGTGTAAAGATAAGATAGTCCATGTTATTTAAAATGGCAGAAAATTTCTAGGTACAGTAACATTGCATACTGGATTAATGCCCTAGTCTAAAATTGACATAATTTTGAAAGGAACATGTAAATTACTCATATTCTTCTAAAGGTATACTGAAGATGTTGCAGATAATTCAGCAGAAATTTTCAGACACTGTGCAATTATCAAAAAAAGTAAATCAAATCTTAACATAAACAATGTAATAGCAGAGAAGACATCAATGTGTAAATGCTGACAAGAATAAGAATTTCCCTGATTTGCAACATCACAAATGGTACTTTTGTGATTAATGTGTGCTCAGAAAAGAGTGAGAATGCTAGTCAACACAGTGGGGAAAATGAGACAGAAAGCCCAAGATTTCTGATTGTGGGATGGAGATGAACACAAAAGATTTAAGTGATACAGGAAGTGTTAGAAGGATAGAAGATTATCCAAGTCTATTTAGAAAGTAGAATATCTGGTTTCCCAAATATCTACCTAAGATATTTTGGAAACCAGGAATTTCTATTCTTAAAATTTATCGTTAAACCCAAGGAATATTAGTTGAGAAGTGGGAAATTTAGAAGTTACACAGAATTACTTCTTTAAAAAATTTTAATGTATTTTTGAATTCTGTTACCATTTTTGAGAGCAAAGGTTTAGCAAAATCAGGAAAAGGGACTGGATGTGGCTAACAATAACCGATGGGTAAAATATCATAGGAGTAATGTGACACATTTCAGGACTTGAGTTACTTCTCACTTAAGTAGAAGTAATCTGAAATTTTTGTACTTTCCTCAGAGGTGTTCTCTGCTGTTAGCTATCAGAGAGGTTACTGGACTAGCTTTTAACTTGCCAGGGTTTTTATAATATTTTTTTATCATTCCATTTTGCTTTTTAATTTAATTTATTTCAAAAGATTCTCTGTATCATCAGCATATCAATATGCTGATGAATAAAAATTTTTAACAATATGATACAGAAGATTTTCATAAACTAGTATCTTCATTAGTCTTTCTAGTGTTTAAATTTGGGCTTAACTCATTAGTTAAGGTACACAACTAAATTTGTCACCGGTTAGTTCTAAGCTAGATGTCCCCAAGCTATGGTCCCTAACGCTTATCATTTTCAGGCTAAATTTGGAGTTGGCTATACTTCCTTGGTCAAGGAAGCTGGAAGATGTCTGATTATTGTGTTAAGTGTGTAAAGTTTGTGTTTCATAAAACTATATGCAATGTAGTTCTTAAGCATGTTCCAGGCTTAGTGCTTCCTGCTAGGTGGACAAATCCTTTACATAAAATGTAAAATAAACGTAAATGCTGATTGAAATGTAGCCTATATAATCAAGAGAGGAAAAGATTTTAAGAAAAGGGCCACCCTTTTTCTGTAACATTGGTTTTTGATCAAACTGTTTGTTTGCTTATTTTGTAATTTCCTTCCAAAAAATTCATGTGTAGCTTCAGCTTTACCTGCTACCCTTTGATGACAGTCTAACATAGTTATCAAACTTTGATGTAGGTGGTTAGGATAGATTATGAAGATGGAGGTAAAGAGACAGGGTTGTTCAGAAGGTGGATCTGTAGATGAATCTATGTAGTTCAGATGGGAAAAAAGGTGGAATTGAACTGAAGCAAAGCTGCATAGAAGTTGTGATGGTCTTGATAAATCAAGAACCTGGCTATGTTGGGGGGTAGGTCATTGTTTCTGAAGCTCATTGCATTGGCAGGGTTCTCACTAGGGAGATAAGGAGAATTAGGATGTGGTGGTAGTGCTGTATAGATTACACAGGGTGAGCGTAAGAGATTTGTCTTCTCTAACATTGATGTATGATGTCCTTTTGTTTTCTAATCATCATCTTTGTTAGTTCATAAAGTGACATTCTTTTTGTGTGAATTGGCAGGGAGGCAAGAGCTGCTACCATTGCTGCTAGAAATACTAAGTAAATTAAATTTGGGGGCTAATGCTTTAGATGTCTATTGTGGTGCTTTTCTGTTATTTTGAGAGAGAAGTAATGAATGATGCTAAACGTTGGAGCAAAAAATGCCTGCTTCTGTTCTGGCCAGTAATTGAGCCAGTTTTCACATTATCAGAGAGATAATTAAACCCTAAGTTAGCAAACAAGTTAGCAGAAAAAGACTAAGTTGAATAGGCTGAACTGAAAGCAGTATTGTTTGATCTTATATCAGGCCTACTCATGTTAACAGTTCCTGGTGTGGTTAAAATGGATAGCTTGCTTTGCTGCTCTCAGTGTTCAGCTTGAAACACTTCTGCATTTAAACACTTCTGTGTTTAGAATTCTTATGTGTTCTGTGTTTCTACCAGCTTGTATTGCTGAAGGTGCTGCCTCATTTGAAGCATCCATACTATGTACATAATTGCTGACAAAAAAA